GATCGAGATGCGTTCACTTTTCAGTCACTGCCAGGGGGCGATCGAGATGCGTTCACTTTACAGACAGTCACCGCCAGGGGGCGATCGAGATGCGTTCACTTTACACAGTCACCGCCAGGGGGCGATCGAGATGCATTCACTTTACACAGTCACCGCCAGGGGGCGATCGAGATGCGTTCACTTTACACAGTAACCGCCAGGGGGCGATCGAGATGCGTTCACTTTACAGACAGTCACCGCCAGGGGGCGATCGAGATGCATTCACTTTTCACAGTCACCGCCAGGGGGGGATCGAGATGCGTTCACTTTAAACACTAACCGCCAGGGGGCGATCGAGATGTGTTCACTTTACAGACAGTCACCGCCAGGGGGCGATCGAGATGCATTCACTTTTCACAGTCACCGCCAGGGGGCGATCGAGATGCGTTCACTTTTCACAGTCACCGCCAGGGGGCGATCGAGATGCGTTCACTTTACACAGTCACCGCCAGGGGGCGATCGAGATGCGTTCACTTTACAGACAGTCACCGCCAGGGGGCGATCGAGATGCGTTCACTTTACACAGTCACCGTCAGGGGGCGATCGAGATGCGTTCACTTTTCACAGTCACCGCCAGGGGGCGATCGAGATGTGTTCACTTTACACAGTCACCGCCAGGGGTCGATCGAGATGTGTTCACTTTTCACAGTCACCGCCAGGGGGCGATCGAGATGCGTTTACTTTTCACAGTCACCGCCAGGGGGCGATCGAGATGCGTTCACTTTTCAGTCACCGCCAGGGGGCGATCGAGATGCGTTCACTTTACACAGTCACCGCCAGGGGGCGATCGAGATGCATTCACTTTACACAGTCACCGCCAGGGGGCGATCGAGATGCGTTCACTTTACACAGTCACCGCCAGGGGGCGATCGAGATGCGTTCACTTTACACAGTCACCGCCAGGGGGCGATCGAGATGCATTCACTTTACACAGTCACCGCCAGGGGGCGATCGAGATGCGTTCACTTTTCACAAACACCGCCAGGGGGCGATCGAGATGCGTTCACTTTACAGACAGTCACCGCCAGGGGGCGATCGAGATGCGTTCACTTTACACAGTCACCGCCAGGGGGCGATCGAGATGCGTTCACTTTACACAGTCACCGTCAGGGGGTGATCGAGATGCGTTCACTTTACAGACAGTCACCGCCAGGGGGCGATCGAGATGCGTTCACTTTTCACAGTCACTGCCAGGGGGCGATCGAGATGCGTTCACTTTACACAGTCACCGCCAGGGTGCGATCGAGATGCGTTCACTTTACACAGTCACCGCCAGGGGGCGATCGAGATGCGTTCACTTTACACAGTCACTGCCAGGGGGCGATCGAGATGCGTTCACTTTACACAGTCACCGCCAGGGGGCGATCGAGATGCGTTCACTTTTCACAAACACCGCCAGGGGGCGATCGAGATGCGTTCACTTTACACAGTCACCGCCAGGGGGCGATCGAGATGCGATCACTTTACACAGTCACCGCCAGGGGTCGATCGAGATGTGTTCACTTTACACAGTCACCGCCAGGGGGCGATCGAGATGCGTTCACTTTTCACAGTCACCGCCAGGGGGCGATCGAGATGCGTTTACTTTTCACAGTCACCGCCAGGGGGCGATCGAGATGCGTTCACTTTTCAGTCACCGCCAGGGGGCGATCGAGATGTGTTCACTTTTCACAGTCACCGCCAGGGGGCGATCGAGATGCGATCACTTTACACAGTCACCGCCAGGGGTCGATCGAGATGTGTTCACTTTACACAGTCACCGCCAGGGGGCGATCGAGATGCGTTCACTTTTCACAGTCACCGCCAGGGGGCGATCGAGATGCGTTTACTTTTCACAGTCACCGCCAGGGGGCGATCGAGATGCGTTCACTTTTCACAGTCACCGCCAGGGGGCGATCGAGATGCGTTCACTTTTCAGTCACTGCCAGGGGGCGATCGAGATGCGTTCACTTTACAGACAGTCACCGCCAGGGGGCGATCGAGATGCGTTCACTTTACACAGTCACCGCCAGGGGGCGATCGAGATGCGTTCACTTTACACAGTCACCGCTAGGGGGCGATCGAGATGCGTTCACTTTTCACAAACACCGCCAGGGGGCGATCGAGATGCGTTCACTTTACACAGACACCGCCAGGGGGGCGATCGAGATGCGATCACTTTACACAGTAACCGCCAGGGGGCGATCGAGATGCGTTCACTTTACACAGTCACCGCCAGGGGTCGATCGAGATGCGTTCAATTTACACAGTCACCGCCAGGGGGCGATCGAGATGCGTTCACTTTTCACAGTCACCGCCAGGGGGCGATCGAGATGCGTTTACTTTTCACAGTCACCGCCAGGGGGCGATCGAGATGCGTTCACTTTTCAGTCACCGCCAGGGGGCGATCGAGATGCGTTCACTTTTCACAGTCACCGCCAGGGGGCGATCGATGCGTTCACTTTACACAGTCACCGCCAGGGGGCGATCGAGATGCGTTCACTTTACACAGTCACCGCCAGGGGGCGATCGAGATGCGTTCACTTTTCACAGTCACCGCCAGGGGGCGATCGAGATGCGTTTACTTTTCACAGTCACCGCCAGGGGGCGATCGAGATGCGTTCACTTTACACAGTCACCGTCAGGGGGCGATCGAGATGCGTTCACTTTTCACAGTCACCGCCAGGGGGCGATCGAGATGCGTTCACTTTTCAGTCACTGCCAGGGGGCGATCGAGATGCGTTCACTTTACAGACAGTCACCGCCAGGGGGCGATCGAGATGCGTTCACTTTACACAGTCACCGCCAGGGGGCGATCGAGATGTGTTCACTTTACAGACAGTCACCGCCAGGGGGCGATCGAGATGCGTTCACTTTTCAGTCACCGCCAGGGGGCGATCGAGATGCGTTCACTTTACACAGTCACCGTCAGGGGGCGATCGAGATGCGTTCACTTTACAGACAGTCACCGCCAGGGGGCGATCGAGATGCGTTCACTTTTCACAGTCACCGCCAGGGGGCGATCGAGATGCATTCACTTTACACAGTCACCGCCAGGGGGCGATCGAGATGCGTTCACTTTTCACAGTCACCGCCAGGGGGCGATCGAGATGCGTTCACTTTATACAGTCACCGCCAGGGGGCGATCGAGATGCGTTCACCTTACACAGTCACCGCCACCTACTGGTGTAACAGTGTAACTGAAGTCGCTTGAGTCATGGAAGTCGTTTTTTTGTACTTCTGACAGTAAAATAAGCCACTATAAACTTATGTAAAGACCAAGTCACGCAAAGAAACAAATATATACAGTGAAACCGCCAAAACTATTTAAAAAAATTATTATTTTTGGTCATAGCACCCAAAACTAATGGCGCTTTTCCACTGCTGGTACAGCTCAGTACGGCTCAGTACGGTTCGGCGCTCCTCGGCAGCCAGCGAGAGGAACGTCTGCACTTCGTCCACTGACCACGATTCAGCCATTTCTTTTTTGGAAGTTTTCTTTCTTTCTTTTTTTTTCAAGCAAGTAGTTTTAAAACAGGTGCTACAGCGGTGGCTGTTACCGGCTATTTAAATCTAGCGGGTTTGATGTCTCGCAAATACAATGACGCTGGTAATGACGATTCGAAGCGAGCCGTACCGTACTGTACCATGCAGTGGAAAAGCGCCACAAGTGAGCCGTACCGAGCCGCGCCGTACCGTACCATGCAGTGGGAAAGCGCCATAATTATATTGTGCGTTTTATTAATATTCTTATACAGTATGCAGTGAGGTCCAAGGTTGTATAATGACCATTTTGTAGTATGATATATTGATGCTCCTGAAATAAAACCCAGGAAGTTATGATAAATTGTTTTTGTAAATATGACTCATCGTGTACATCATATTCAGTCCGTATAAGGGTATGATTCAAAGTTTTCCCATGGTCTAGTGTTAAAAAAAGCAAACAAAAACAATATTTTTGTTTAAAACACTAAACATTACATGTTTATTGGCATACACTTTCACAGACAAAAGAGGAAACAACAGATGATGACAGTAATATTGTTTCCTGGTCTTTATTTAGAAGACATGAGGGAAATCACATGAGACACAAATCACCCGATAAAGTCATCTCTCAAATGTATTTGATACTTCTCTCTCTCTCTCTCTCTCTCTCTCTCTCTCTCTCTCTCTCTCTCTCTCTCTCTCTCTCTCTCTCTCTCTCTCTCTCTCTCTCTCTCTCTCTCTCTCTCTCTCATAAGTGTAATATAACCCACAGTTGCTTTGATAAAAAGCATTATGTCATGATCATAAAATATGATATAAGGTATGTTTATTATAACACCTCCCATATGATCATATTTCGTTTGGACAGGTTTCACACACATAAATGTAAATTGTATGCAAAAATGTGCAGTTTTTTTAAACAAAAGGAAAGTTGGAAAAAAAAACATTCCAACTTATTTCAAGATATTTCAAGATTATTGATTGTTTACCACCCTGTCAGTTGGTTATATCAGTGATATATATATATATATATGTTGCTTGCTTTAAATGATGCCAAAAATACAATAATAAAGTAACAAGTATCTGAGAATTAGTATTGTAATTAATGTTAATTATAAACATAATAATAATAACACTATAATCTCTCAATCTGTCTCACTCTGTCTGAGAGTCAGATTCAGCGATGACTGATCATCCACATTTACAGTTTTACCAAAGCCTGGTCAAGGAAAAAGATCAATCACCAAAAAGGACAACAGCAAGTGAATAAAGTGCTAAAACAGAAATACAGGAGATGAAGATGAGGATGAAAGAGAGAATAAAAAATTCTAACAGAAAATAAATTAAGTTTAGAAAAGAGGAATATAAAAGTAAACTAATTCATGTAAAGGTGATTTGCCAGTGTAATGTCTCTCTCTCTCTCTCTCTCTCTCTCTCTCTCTCTCTCTCTCTCTCTCTCTCTCTCTCTCTCTCTCTCTCTTTCTCTCCGGGGGAGGAGTCACACCTGAAACAGGAAGTAAAGTAAAGGTGTTACACTGAAACACGTCATTGAACACCAGATCAGTTCTTCATAATCCTCACAGATGCGCGTTATCGATCACTGGACTCGTCATTTGGAGAATATGGTAGGTCTGGGTTACTCTATTATATAAATGGTGTTTATTGACAGCTGAGACAAATACAGGTAAACTCTGTCATCTGTTTACATGACAGCAACGATTTATTATTCTTATTTTAAAACTAGCTTCCTTAAGTATTAACGACGGTTAACAGGTTAAACAAAAATCCAGCCGGTGTTTTTACCGGAGAGCCCGGAGAAGGCGAGGACGAGCGCGCGCGGTTGACAAGTAGTGTAGAGTTGTTTGTTAAATGTATAGTTTACTATTGTTAAATGCACTATATTGTCTCTTAATTATTCAGATAGACAGGTTATCACTGCTTGAGCGTAGAAAGTTCACCCTACTACATTATCACTGCATCAAATACCTCACATTTAAATTTTGCTCCAATTAGTGAAATCGAATGCAAATTAGTCGAAAATAATTAATAAAGAGGAAGACAATAAACTGATTTTGCCTGAGCCCCTCAGACAGTCTGGCAATGGATTTCAAAGCCATTTTCTACCTCTTTAAATAGGCTATATTCCACTGTACACACGTCAGGCTGTCCAAGCCATATCAACAAAGACAATAAATGTATATTGAACGCATATTTAAAATAAAAGTGATCAAAATAGCAAGTCAATGCTGCTTTAAATTTGTAAGTACAATCAACTAAGCTGTATGAGTCATAACTTAAATGACATTAAACTGACTTGAAAATGAGTTGACTCTTATAACTTACACAAAGGTTGATTATGTTTGCTTAACTTATTTTAAATTAAAGTAATGTAAAAACATATGTTGTCATGACTTATCGATTATATCATTCTTTTTACATCGTGTGTATTTTGCATGCACTGGACCATTGTGATTAAAAAAATCCATTCTATCTTTATTTTATTTATTTTTTTATTATTGATGACTTGAAAGAATGGATGAATTAATTTATGGAGAATATCTGTGTAGGCATATATATATATATATATATAAGATAATTATGCAGTTCTTTGAAACAAAAGGAAAGTTTGAAAACACTTTCAAGATGTTGTAAACTAAAGCATCTTTGAGTGTCTAGTGCCCTGTCAGTTGGTTATGTGTATCTGTGATTTATATATATATTGCTTTAAATTATGCCTACAATAATAAAGTAACAAGTATCTGAGTATTGAAATTAATAATAATTATAAACATAATAGTAATAATATCACAATTAACTCTCAAGATTCTACATGTCAAAGATAGACACTACATGTATATTGAACGTATATTTAAAATAAAATGAGCAAAATAGCAAGTCAATGCAGCACAAAATTGAGTACAATCAACTTTTGTATCAACTGTAAAAGTCATTTATGTAATTATTACATGTTTAATATTTAATATGTGTGTATTTTGCATGCACTGGACCACTGTGATTTTAAAAAATCCATTTTATTATTGATGACTTGAAAGAATGAATGAATGAATTTATGGAGAATATCTAGTGTAGCAGGGGCGTAATTTGTGGGGGGGGGGGGGCCCCCCAATATTTAAATCTATGCATTACAACCCCTATTATTTATACCATGATCACAATATCAGGAGGCATACCCAAACTTCAACCCCCCCAATGTTCAAACCAAATCTACGCCCTTGTAGTGTAGGCATATATATATAAATAGATCATTTATGTAACTATAACATGTTTAATTACAATTCGAAGCATGCATTTTAAAGAGCATTTATGTGTTGCTGTTCCAGCCTGATTCGGAAGCGAGAGCAACATGTGTTTGCAGCACACACACCACACAGGAGCTCCTGCACTGAAACACACCCCCGTCAGACGCCAGCATGCAGCAGTCGAGGTGTTTCCATCATCCGCCCGCGGGCCTGAGCCGGGACACACACGACCCGCAGACCAAGGTGGACTTCTTCCGTAAGCTGGGCTACTCTCCGGAGGAGGTGAAGGACGTGCAGAGGAAGCTGGGACTGGGGACGGACACCAACGCTGTGCTGGGAGAACTGGTGCGGTCCGGGGCGAAGTCCGTGCCCTCCCCCTGCTCCGACAGTGATGATGGGTTGCCCCAGTGGGGGGGGAGCTCATCCCGGGGACAGGGGTCAACGCTGGAGGACAACAGTGAGCCCGAAAGTGACCTGAAGCCGATAGTCATTGATGGCAGTAACGTGGCCATGAGGTGAGGAATCGGCTCTGCTTTCAATAGTCTTTCCGTAGGAAGAGAATTATCTAATGGAGCTTGAGTCTTTGCCAGTTTCTTTTATTTCAATAGTCTTTCCGTATGAATTCTCTTACGCTTTGCCAGTTTAACAGTATCAACAAGTTGCAAAGGGAAGTCCAGGATGAATGTGCTCCGCGGTTGTGTGTGAACTTTTCCCGAACTGTGCAAGGCTTTTACTTTGAAAACACTTTTTTTTATAAATGTCGGTCCTCCTCAGATTCTTGTAACCGTTTAAAAAGCATTTAAAAAAGGGAATATCGCCAAATAATTGCATAAATGCACATGCAAAATGGTTGATGGCTCATTATTTGTAATCGTTTAATAATTCGGATCAAAAGTAGTAAGTAGTTTGTTTATTATAATATTAGTTACCACTTCCCATGCTGAATTGATCACGTTGCCTCAGGGCATTAACCTTAAACCTGCTTCATCTGAAAAGGTTTTTACTTCCTCTTTGTCTATGCCTTTCTGTTCTCCAATATGCAAATAATATGTAACCTTTTCACTTCCAGTAAGCCTGGTATACTCAGCATACCCAGCCACATTTTTGGTCACGCTTTCTGCAAATGTCACAGTAGGGAATTCTGTGGAAGACTTTCATTCAGGGAAAAAATGAGATTTAGTAGTCAATTGCAACACTTTACAATTACTGTATGGGAAAGGCTGCTGATGCATTGATTTTTGTTATGACAACATGGCGTAATGTAAATTGCAGTTTTGTATGTGTTCTTAGATGTAGCTTCCCTGTCAAAGCAAACAATTCTGTCATCATTTCCATCTCGGGTTTTCTTTATCAAACATCTCTGACAGGCATCTTTCAGCAAGTGCAGTGCGCCTTCCAGTTGTCTTGTAGTTTACTGTTTTGTGGTTATGCAAATTTTTTAGCTTGCTCCTACTTGCATTATTGCCTTAAGCTATTCCAATTATTCCAATAATTATTCCAGAGCGGGAATTAATTATTTTAGGTTCATTGGGCCTTCTGAGTTCAAATCTGATACAAGTTCAGTCATGATACTCAATTTGACGCTCAAATCACATCATTACATCATGGCACAAGCTGATTGGCCTCTGCTGATCCACCTTCCCAGCTCCACCTCCCCAGCTCCACCTTCCCAGCTCCACCTGCCCAGCTCCACCTGCCAAGCTCCACCTGCCCAGCTCCACCTGCCCAGCTCCACCTGCCCAGCTCCACCTGCCCAGCTCCACCTGCCAAGCTCCACCTGCCCAGCTCCAACTGCCAAGCTCCACCTCCCCAGCTCCACCTGCCCAGCTCCACCTGCCCAGCTCCACCTGCCAAGCTCCACCTGCCCAGCTCCACCTCCCCAGCTCCACCTGCCCAGCTCCACCTGCCCAGCTCCACCTGCCAAGCTCCACCTGCCCAGCTCCAACTGCCAAGCTCCACCTCCCCAGCTCCACCTGCCCAGCTCCACCTGCCCAGCTCCACCTGCCAAGCTCCACCTGCCCAGCTCCACCTGCCCAGCTCCTCCTGCCCAGCTCCACCTGCCCAGCTCCACCTGCCCAGCTCCACCTGCCCAGCTCCACCTGCCCAGCTCCTCCTGCCCAGCTCCACCTGCCCAGCTCCACCTGCCCAGCTCCTCCTGGCCAGCTCCACCTGCCCAGCTCCACCTGCCAAGCTCCACCTGCCCAGCTCCACCTGCCCAGCTCCTCCTGCCCAGCTCCACCTGCCCAGCTCCACCTGCCCAGCTCCTCCTGCCCAGCTCCACCTGCCCAGCTCCACCTCCCCAGCTCCTCCTGGCCAGCTCCACCTCCCCAGCTCCACCTGCCCAGCTCCTCCTGCCCAGCTCCACCTGCCCAGCTCCACCTCCCCAGCTCCACCTCCCCAGCTCCTCCTGGCCAGCTCCACCTCCCCAGCTCCTCCTGCCCAGCTCCTCCTGGCCAGCTCCACCTCCCCAGCTCCACCTCCCCAGCTCCACCTTCCCAGCTCCTCCTGCCCAGCTCCTCCTGGCCAGCTCCACCTGCCCAGCTCCTCCTGCCCAGCTCCTCCTGCCCAGCTCCACCTCCCCAGCTCCACCTCCCCAGCTCCACCTGCCCAGCTCCTCCTGGCCAGCTCCACCTCCCCAGCTCCACCTCCCCAGCTCCACCTTCCCAGCTCCACCTTCCCAGCTCCTCCTGCCCAGCTCCACCTGCCCAGCTCCTCCTGCCCAGCTCCACCTCCCCAGCTCCACCTGCCCAGCTCCACCTGCCCAGCTCCACCTCCCCAGCTCCACCTTCCCAGCTCCTCCTGCCCAGCTCCTCCTGCCCAGCTCCTCCTGGCCAGCTCCACCTGCCCAGCTCCACCTGCCCAGCTCCTCCTGGCCAGCTCCACCTGCCCAGCTCCACCTGCCAAGCTCCACCTGCCCAGCTCCTCCTGCCCAGCTCCACCTGCCCAGCTCCACCTGCCCAGCTCCACCTGCCCAGCTCCTCCTGCCCAGCTCCACCTGCCCAGCTCCACCTCCCCAGCTCCTCCTGGCCAGCTCAACCTCCCCAGCTCCACCTGCCCAGCTCCTCCTGCCCAGCTCCACCTGCCCAGCTCCTCCTGCCCAGCTCCACCTGCCCAGCTCCACCTGCCCAGCTCCACCTCCCCAGCTCCACCTCCCCAGCTCCTCCTGGCCAGCTCCACCTCCCCAGCTCCACCTCCCCAGCTCCACCTTCCCAGCTCCTCCTGCCCAGCTCCTCCTGGCCAGCTCCACCTCCCCAGCTCCACCTCCCCAGCTCCACCTTCCCAGCTCCTCCTGCCCAGCTCCTCCTGGCCAGCTCCACCTGCCCAGCTCCTCCTGGCCAGCTCCACCTCCCCAGCTCCACCTTCCCAGCTCCACCTTCCCAGCTCCTCCTGCCCAGCTCCACCTGCCCAGCTCCTCCTGCCCAGCTCCTCCTGGCCAGCTCCACCTCCCCAGCTCCACCTGCCCAGCTCCTCCTGGCCAGCTCCACCTCCCCAGCTCCACCTCCCCAGCTCCACCTTCCCAGCTCCACCTTCCCAGCTCCTCCTGCCCAGCTCCACCTGCCCAGCTCCTCCTGCCCAGCTCCTCCTGGCCAGCTCCACCTCCCCAGCTCCACCTGCCCAGCTCCAACTGCCAAGCTCCACCTGCCCAGATCTGGGGTTTATCTGTCTATTTATGCAGCAGCAGCATATAAGCGCAACAATAATCAACAGCAGAAATGTAGAAGATCTAATCTATCCAAATACATTAACATTTTCATTTTCAATAACAATAACATGCTAAAACTATTCGAGAGCTGTCATGATTAAAAAAAAAATATATATATATATATATATATTTATATATACATGCATGCACACAGGTTCACACAGGACACTCTGCACTTGTCTGACTCTAATCTGACACTTGCATCTTAGAAATGTGACATTCATGGTGAAAAAGCAGCAGTACGTTACCAAACCCCAGAGGGACCTTAACGTGTGTACGGACCAGCAGTTTAACATGCATATTTAATGATTTGTGCCATATGCTAGACTAATGCTCTCTCTCTCTCTCTCTCTCTCTATATATATATATATATATATAAAGAGAGAGACCCACCCAATATATATATATATAAAGAGAGAGACCCACCCAATATATATATATATAGTTTCAAGCTTTTGAGGGGAAAAAAGAGAACAAAATGGCACTTTGAAATTGGAAATTTATCTGACAAGAAAGGAAACATTAGAAGGTGAAGTTGGTCGGGATGTAGTACACGTTTTTAAGAGTTTAATAAAAGTAAGAATTAAATCAGATTTTTATTTTATACAACTATGAAGAATATAGAGGAATTTAAAAAATTGATGGAATTATAAGGAAATGTTGTGCTTTGTTAGAGACGGTGAATGAAATTTTGCTAAATGTCTTGAGTAAAGTGAATGTTTGTTAATTGTTTTTAAATGATTTAATAAAGTGTTATTAAAGTGCTCTCTCTCTCTCTCTCTCTCCCTCTCTCTCTCTTACTGTCTCTCTTGTTCTCTTTCAGTCATGGGAACAAGGAAGTGTTTTCATGCCGTGGGATTGAGCTGGCAGTTAACTACTTCCTTGACCGAGGACACAGAAATATCACTGTGTTTGTGCCTTCCTGGAGAAAAGAGCAGCCCAGGCCTGATGTACCTATTTCAGGTAGAGACACTCCCTCAGCACCTTTGGTAAAAATGAGTCATCACGGGTGTTTTCGCTTTTCCGAGAAACCAGTCTATCTGACAGCAGACTAAAAGTTTAGGGTCAGGGAGTTTTTTCTAAAGAAATTCACACTTATATTTATAAAGGACGCATTGAATTGATCAAAAGTGATAGGACATTTATAATGTAACAAAAGGTGTATATTAAAATTAAACTTTCTATTCATCGGTTTACACAAAAATATGACTATATATTTCTTTCCAAAACATTAAAAAATATCTGACTGACCCCAAACCTTTGAGCAGTGTGTGTGCTTGAATTAAGTTTATTTATATTATCCACTGGCAATTGTTTTTTCCTTGTTTTAAGCGTAAACCTCACTAAGTTTTGTTATATTTTTGCTGAAAAAGTAAGAAGAAAAATAATCAATAATCAAACAAAATATATTGGTTTGTTCAGACAGTTCATGTAAATAAAAATGATAATACAAAAGACTCATCCCTGCGTAGAAGTCCTTATTTTACATTTTGTTAAGTGCTGTTTAAAAAGCTGAAGCTTTTGACACTGTTATACATTAATTTACTTTAACTACATTAAAGTTTGCTGTTAAGTTTTTACATCACAAAAAATAACATCTCAGCTGGTTGTATTTTCAACTATTGCAGCGTTTTGTAAAAATTTAACAGTGTTCTGTTCATTAGTTAGTTGCAAAACAGTCCCTCTGTACATCTTGGTACTAGTACAACATGACCTTTGTTTTAGGACTTTAGGAACACTGATGTTTAGTTTAACAGCCCTGAGGTGTTGTTGTAGTTGATGATAATGTACTTGTTTATGTCCCTGGACTATCTCTCTTCTGTTGTGAACGCCCCTGCTCAGATTCCTCAAGTCAATTCGGGCAAGAGAACAGTAATAACAAAACCAGAATAATAAGGAAGAGTTAGGTTTCCTGCAGGTCTCACTTGGGATTTCCCCACCAGGAAGTTCAAGAGCTTTCCCTATTACCACAGTTTGACTGTGAATCTTTAATCCAGTTTAGTGTTGCGTGCCTCTTTCCTGTTTCACAACTGATAGCCTGTGTTATATGGGATCTTGTGGGATCCTTACAACTTCCCCAAAGCAGCATTTGATATGGTCACTTGTGGTAGAAATTAAATGCTAATGTAGGGAAATAACCATTTGTTTTGTATCTGTAATGTAGAGAATCATTATTTTTGAGCATTTATGTCATGAATTCAGTTAGTGCACAGTGATCAAGTTAGGGGTGGAACGGTACACAGAAGTCACGGTTCGGTTCATACCTTGGTTCAGACATCACGGTTCGGTACGATTTCGGTACAATGGAGTGAAAAGCAAAACAAAAATGCAGAAGGCATTGTATTTTTTAAATAAGTTTTATTATTAAAGGCATAGAACCAGTTTATTTGTAGTGGACTGACAATAGTTTTATATAATTAGTTTATTACTTAAATTAATAAAAAGACCTTGCGATATGTTTGGTAATTGTACCTGAATTAATTTAAAATTAATTTGCTATATTTCAGATCAATATATTTGTTTTCCTTATTTTTAATTAACATTATTAATTAACAATGTAACATTATTCTCTTCTGAATTATAAATAATTGATTTCTGTATAAAATAATACTACCATTAAAAACACATTCGATTTTCTTTTTTTAATCAATGTAGAATGTGTGAGATTAGTGCTCCGAGGACAAGAAATGAAAACCAATGCAATATGATGAATGTCCAAAAGATGGGACCCACAGAGTGTTTTGAAATGGAGTTGGATAAATATGTTTTGCTTTTAAAACTGTGTGTGTGTGTGTGTGTGTGTGTGTGTGTGTGTGTGTGTGTGTGTGTGTGTGTGTGTGTGTGTGTGTGTGTGTGTGTGTGTGTGTGTGTGTGTGTGTGTGTGTGTGTGTGTGTGTGTGTGTGTGTGTGTGTGTGTGTGTGTGTGTGTGTGTGTGTGTGTGTGTGTGTGTGTGTGTGTGTGTGATTTTGGTTGGGTGACAGTTGTAGGTTACAGTTTGACAAGAGTTTACAGTGTGACAAAAGCACAATGTTGTGTTTTATTGCGAGTGTACACAAATATAAGTAAACACTTTGCAGGTATAATGATCTATATGAACAAAATGACGGAGTATGTTTTTTTTATGTTTCCACAATCGCGCCCGCGCCTCTCTCTCACACACACACACACGCACACTCCAGCATTGCAATCTTGACATCGCAGCCTGTTCATTATATGCGGTTACACCAAACGCGAATAGAGCGTCAAATTCGCGTCTATGGCGTCTAGTTCGACGCTAGTTCAAAGCGAATAGGATGCGAGTATAAAGCCAACGTTTGAAGTGAACGCGCGTTCAGAGCATAGACAGTATAAGAAGTGGACAGAGCCATCTCATTGGAACTCAGTTGAGACAGTTGAAGCCCATTTTTAGCGATTTTTGAGCACTTCCGTTCCTGACGCGCAGACTCAAACCGACTCAAACTAAGCTTGATGACGTGAGCAACCTGTCTGACAGACGTTACTCTTCTAGTAGCTGTGCGTGAAAATAGCCAACGTTAATCTTGCAGAGACGGGGAACTTGAGCAAAGAGGTCTTTGGCGTGAGTGAGCAGGAGTAAGTATCCCGTTGCTTTTATGGACTCATTATCTATGTGTAACGGGTATATATTACCTAGAAATAATTATTATTTTTGGCGGACTTTTATTTTGACGGGTGGACTGGTTTTCGGTGTTCAGTGTGGGCTGAGAGAGGAGAAGAAGAAGAGCGCGGGGTATGAGAGGGTCGGACAGACAAAAAAAGTGAGTGTTGTCGTGTTCGAGAAGCTCGTTCGATAAAGTGACTTGAACAGAAGTTGATCGGGGCTTTGGTCGAATAAAGGACGACATCAGGTGATTTTTGCGAGCTGTGTCCCGCGTTTCGTAGTTTTTTTGTGTGAATTTTGATCCGTGAATCATATCGCATTGCTTTGGACTGCTGGAGTGACGCAGTAATGTTTTGTGAAGGCAAGAGAACTGTCTGTGAGTGCATTAAAAGTACACGTTAGTTTGATTGGCGACGATTGAAGAGATTTTTTTTTACATTTTTGTTAAGTTTTGGACTTTCATTTTGATTGAGAAGCACTCTTACGAACAAACATTTCAACCGCACTGGTCACGCGCATTTGAGTGTTCTGCACGTGTCATCGCACGTGAGATGGGAATTGCGGTCTGCAGTTGGTGCTGAACATAGTTATTTTCGGAGGAGATTTGAGTTTAAGACTATTTGTGTTACCCTGCCATCCAACGACATCTCAGGTTGACACATCTCTGTGGGGTATCTCAGTTTGTTACATTCCTGTACATTTCATCTTTGATTCATCTCAGTTTGATTCATTCATTTTTCGACTCATTTTTTGATTCATTCATTTTTTTTTGTGGGACATTTCATTGAGCTTGAGTGATATTGCTACGAAATCTCAAGATAATTTCAACGCACGCTACGTCGAGACAACTCCTCTCAATTTTTCAACCTATTATTATTTTCTTTTAATTATATTTTTGATCCGAGGAACTGTGAGAGTTCTGTTGAATCACAGAACCTAAGGTGAACTGAGTGAGCACATAAAAGGACATTTCACGTAAGTGCTCTTCTAGATGTGAAACTGCATTGTGTATATTGGAGTTTTTCCCCAATGTGATTGTTTGATCATTTGAAAACTGAGAACTCATCCTAAGTGGTGTTTACAAAAGGTTTTTTTTGTATTTTATTTTGGAGTGAGGTTTATCTTGGTAAGTGAAAAGTTTAGAGCTTTTACATTGAAAGTGATTGAGTCATAGTGAGGGTAAAGGAAAAACACAAAGACCATACATTTTATTCCTTTATTTTTATTTTATTTTATTTTGTGATCATTAACCCTGAATTTAACATTTGATTACAAGAAAGAAGAAAAGACACAAAGAATAAATATTGTTTGATTTCGTACTTACTTCATTGTATCTTTTTGTTTAGAGCTGTCAAGGAGTAGGGGCATCTCAGCTACTTTATTAGACCAGAGGAGGGAGGGGTTTACTTTTACTTCAGGAAGCCAGTGACATTACTTAAGCTGAAGCCTACTCTCGTCAGTCTGTACATCCCAATAAAGTAGAACATAACATACACACATTTAGTGTGTAGTGAGATTAAAAGCACTGAAAGCGGGGACTAAGATCTTTCCGTTACTCAGTCTTCCGTGGCAGCACTAATACATTTTCCCCTACAAGACGGGTTAAATTCCCGTTACATAAGTGGCGTCACGAACAGGATCATACTTAGCCTAATTTTTGTTGTTGTAGTATTCTGTCCCAGGTCTGTGAGCAAGAAGAAAAATGGCAGAACTGGAAGAACTGAAGAAGGAGTTCGCTGAGATGTAGAAGAGGTTAGCGGAGCAAGCTGGGGCATTGGATCATGCCAGAACAGAACAGCGAGAAGCCCTGTCACTGGCCAGAGCAGTAATGGAGCAGCAAGCATCCACTCGTGCAACCCCAGCAACAATCTATATCCCAAGAGATCATAAACTTACCGATTTCACTGGAATCGCAAAACCTGGAGAAGGAAGTGTGGAAGAGTGGATTGTCTCTATGAAGTCAGCCTTTCGAGTCATGAAGGTGCCAGAGGAAGATCAGGTGGAGCTGATAAAGCAGCACTTAAAAGGAGAGGCTAAAGATACTGTGAGGTTCATGATGGAAGAAGTGGATAACAGGGTGGAGTCCATTTTTCAGCTGCTCCAGGAAACCTATGGGGACAAGGTACCTATTGGCACAAGGTTGAAAGACTTTTATGATCGAAAACAAGCACCTGGTGAGACCATACGCGCCTATGCTTACGATTTACGAGAAAAGCTCCACAAGGTGAAACGCAGAGAGCCTAAGCGAGTTCCAGATGAAGAGAGTGTTTTGAAAGAGCAGTTAGTCCTTGGACTGAGGGATGATTTCCTAAGAAGAGAGATGAAACGGAGGGTCAAGGAAGA